TCAACGCAGAGCCCGATGCGGGGCTCAAACCCACGACTGGTGAGATCACGACCCGAGTGAAAGTCGGACACTGAACCGACCGAGCCACCCAGGCGCCCCAGTTGAATAAAGTTTGAAAGTGACAAACAGAATAGTCGTATGGGTACAGGATGGTCGTGAGTACAGGTGGTTGACCCTAGAGATCATGTGACTGACTGCCCCTGCCTAGTGTCACATGAGGGTGCGCCCTGCATGTCACGGGGGGGGGGGGGGGGGGGGGGGGGGGAGAGATCCACGCTGAAAACTCCAAGTGTGGTTTCTACTAAATACGTATCGTTTTCGTACCTGAGTAAAGTTGAAAAGTCCTAAGCTGGACCATCGAATGTCGGGGCATCTGTGGTAGGTGCTGAGCGGTAACACGGGAACATAGGCTGGAAGGACGTGACAGAGGCCAGTGGAGAAAAGCCCAGAGAAGGAGAGCTCCAGGCTGGGGAAGCCAGAGCCTCAGAGGCCCTGAGGTGGGGGGGGGGGGGGGCACCTGGCATGTTCTAGGAGCAGCAAGGAGCCACAAGGAGCCAGGGTGGCTGGAGGCAGAAAGAGAGCAGGAGGGAGGGAGGGCAAAGGAGCAATAGGGCTTCACCCTGGGCACAACGGGGACTCATCGGAAGGTCCAGCTCGCCGAGGACCACCCCCTCAGCTATGCTTCTGCCCTTCCGCAAACATCCCTGAGTCCCCAAGAGGACCGGACGCAGCCACCCACTGTCACGGGCTTCTCCGGCTGACCCAGCTCGGCTGCTGTCTCTCTGGGCTGGCGGTGTACGTGATTTACAAGGTCCTCCCCGGGATTGTGTGTTTGAGGACATCTGTTCCATTTTGGCTGCTTCTGGCCAGGGCTTTGGTGCTCCTTCACAGATCAAATCACTGCCTCCCTTCTCAGCTAATGCAAACAGCTGGTTACCGCTCACCGATTTCCCAGCTCGAATTGCCAAGGGGAGAATTATAAATAAATGTGTACAAGCAAACAGATGCTGTCATTTAAAAAATCGATCCATCTAGCAAAAATGCCCCACTTAGGACTGAAGTGGCAAACCGCAGAGCATGTGTCTTGGTGGCATTTTTAATGAAATCAGGAAAACAATGGCGGAGCTCGCTAATGGATTCCGAAGGAGCGAACTGCCAAGGACGGAGGGAGGGACTTTGTGGCTTCGACGTCCAGGACCCAGAGCCATAAAGGAGACGCAGGGGCCCCACTGCTGTCCCACACGTGCTTCTCTCCTCTGTCGGTCTTCCAACCTTCCCCTGGCTCGTCAACCCGGTATGACATCGAATAGGACTCATTCAGTATTATTTCGAGTCTCAGTTGGTTTGTGGGAACCTCAGGCCGGGGTGCACAGTCATCCCCTTTGCTATCCTGGGTGCACAGTGAGGGCGCCCCCCCGGCTTTTCTTGAGGCCAGGTTTGTACTAAGAGGCGACTGGAACCAGAACAGAAGTGACCGTTGTCAGGCCTACGTGAGCTCTGCCACCATCTCTCCCACCCATGGGTCTCCCATTTGAGGCCCCTGCAGAGGGTGGAGCCTCGGCTGGAAGGAGAGCAGGTCCCTGAATGAGTATGTGCAGCAGACATTTGTATCCATTGCGTTGAGGTGAGGTGAGAGAGAGAAATAAACTTACCGTTTTAGGCTGAAACTTGGGGGAAGTTTTTTTTTTTTTAATTAAAATATTTTTTTTAATATTTATTTATTTTTGAGAGAGAGAGAGAGACAGAGCATGATCAGGGGAGGGGCAGAGAGAGAGGGAGACACAGAATCTGAAACAGGCTCCAGGCTCTGAGCTGTCAGCACAAAGCCTGATGTGGGGCCCAAACTCACAAACCGTGAGATCCTGACCTGAGATGAAGTTGGATGCTTAACTGACTGAGCCACCAAGGCACCCCTGGGGGAAGTTTATACTGTAAAAATCCTACCCTGGCTAATACACGATGCATCCCAGAATTCATTCATTCATTTATTCACTCATGCACTGAGCATATAGTAAAAATAATATCTACCTATCACCACACATCACAATAATCTCATGTAAGGAATGGAATGAGCCCATTTTTTCAGATGGAGAAACTGAGGTTCAGAAAGGCTAAGTAACCCACTAAAGACAAACAGCCAATAATAATAATAACAGCTATCATTTACTGAACACTCCCCATGTGCCAAACACTGTGCCAAATGGCTCATAGGCAGTATCTTCTTTATTCCTCAAAAATTCTCGTAGGTGTTATTATTAGCCCCATTTTACAGAGGAGCAAAGTGAGGCTTAGAGAAATGAGTCTACTTAAGAGAGAAAGGGAGAAAGGAAGGAGGGAGGAAGGAAGAGAGGAAGGAAGGGAGGAAGAAGAGAGGATTGACACTAGAAAGCTATACTGTCTGTTCTTTCAATCCCAAGGAATCTCTAATAATAGGCTAATCTTAAAATACCAGTTTATCTCCAATCAGTCCAGCCCTGAAGAACTGGAAAGCTACACACACACATACACGCGCGCGCACACACACACACACACACACACACACACACCCCTTAAAGGTTAAAACCATTACATCAAAAGAAAACATATGGTCACCCAAATCTGCATTTATTATATCTAATTGGAAGAGACACAGTCAAGTACGTGAATATTTTAGCAGTTTCCGACATGCAAATCACCGTGCCAAGGCCCAATTACTCACTAATCGGCACACACATGCCCAGCTTTCAGTCCACTGGGTTGGAATGACACTCCAACCTTCCCTCTTGGCCGCGTGCTTGCGTGTTCTCTCATCGCCAGGCAGTTATCATTTGCCTGTGCCTTTCAATAGGACCCCATGAGCAGAGAGACTTGAAGAGCCCCCTCTCACCAAGTTTAGACCCTTGATTAATGTCTGGAGAACACTATAGGCAAAGGCAAGCTATTTGGCTCTAAAATCCGATGAAAAATTCCGATCTTTGCACGTAATCTCTGACTGATAAGCTTTAATGAAGAGGTTTGGGTGGTTGTTATTTAAGTCACAGGACGGACAGGGAACGAATGGGAATTAACAAATTTATTTTCTGGCCAATTCCAGTAAAGACCAGAGTTCCCATGCCGACAGCAAGACAAAAGCACAGTGGCAGTATTTTCCCAAATGCTACTCATTTGCGTTTTTGCCCCGAGGATTTACACCATGTCTGACTATTCACCTATTTTTCCTTGAAGCACTTTTTTGGGTAAATTTTGCCTCATTATGTAAATGAAAAATCCAGTATCACTCACCCTATTTAAAGGTGTATTAGTCAAGAAAGACTAGGCAATACATGGGGTGCCTGGGTGGCTCGGTCGTTTAAGCGTCCGACTTCGGCTCAGGTCATGATCTCGCGGTCCGTGAGTTCGAGCCCCGCGTGGGGCTTTGTGCTGACAGCTCAGAGCCTGGAGCCTGTTTCAGATTCTGTGTCTCCCTCTCTCTGACCCTCCCCTGTTCATGTTCTGTCTCTGTCTCAAAAATAAATAAACGTTAAAAAAAAAAAAAAAAAGATTAGGCAATACAGCAATAATAGTTGATCCCAAGAGTTCAACGACCTAACATAGCATAACCAATGTGGGGTGACAGAGGTCCCCCCGCGCAGCGAGAGTCTGAGCAGAGGGAGTCATGCCATCTCGTAACAGGAAATGACAGAGCTGGACGGTCGCTCACAGGTTTCAAATCTTCCGCGCACAGCCCATTGGCCACGGATGGTCACGTGGCCCTGCCTGCCCGCCAGGGGACCAGGAAATGTGGGGGTGCACCTGCCTACTGGTTATCCGTAAATGTCTCTGCTGCGGAGAGTAGCTGTGAAGTCCCTACAACAATAGGATTAAATTCTACCTAGAAGGCTGTGCTGTGAGCCAGAACATGACGAAAGAAAAGAAATTAGCAAGCTTCATAAGTATGTTAAAGACGTTAGAGCAGCAAGCTGAGACTTTCTCCTGGATCCCAACAAAAGGACGAGGAGAGCAGTGAGGAGGCAATGATCGGCTACAAGGGGACCCAGTGTTATGTAGGGTGTGTCCCTGTAACAGCAAACCATCTTCGAGCAAAACCAAACCGCGGAAAGAGTATCTTTGAAGCCAAATAGAAACCCAGTGGGGATGAAGGATGTTTTAAGTAAGATGAGAATCCTCGGGCGTGCAACAGCGTCACTGTTGTGACAGACGGTACTTTCCAAAGAAGATGACGCCGGCTCTGACAGAGTGACAATGACAGACCTCTACAGAGAGGTGGAGGAGTTTCTATTCTGTGCCCTTGATTCTGAGTGGGCCCGGGATTACGACAGAACTGAACCCCATGACTTCCGAGGCAATGTTAAGAAGGGGTGTTAACACCCCAGCAGCAACGAGCCTGCGTGGCCCCTAGATCTTGGTTTCTAATACCATTCTCCAAAAAAAAGGAACAGGGCTCCTTGGAGAAATGGCTGATGCTGGCACCGGCGCAGGGAATACACGCAACGAGCCTGGAACATCTAGTGCGAAAAGGTAGGCAAGTGCGCGCGTGCGCGCGCGTGCACGCACGCGCGCGTGCACACGCACACACGTACAGTGAATGATGGGGGAAGGAAAGGGTCATGAAGCCCTTCTGAAAGAGCTCCCAGTGGCCAAATCTGGAGCAATTCAAGCCACAAAATAAATACCACACTGTTGGATGATACCCCAAGGTAGAAAATAAATAACCGTGGGTCAACACTGATACAAACCAACGATGGTATAAATAAATAAATAAATAAATGGGGGGGAAATAGACACATCTCCCATGTAGAAGAATTCCACATAATTTATGCAGATGCTCTGCCCTCGAGGAGGTGGAGCGTAACTCCCCGCTCCCTAAGCGCAGGCTGCACAGAGCTGGTGACTTCCTTCCAAAAAGTACCATGTAGAGAAAGGAAAGGACGAGTAATTTTGCAGTGGGGACACCTAGCAAACGCCGCCACAGACAAGTGGTCAAGATCAACGTCGACAGTGACTGGTCGTGCTGATGGTACCTGCTCTTGATGTGATGCGTTCAGAAGGGCCCTTCCCCAACCCACACCCCAGCCCCATCACGAGAAAAACATCAGAAAGAGCCCCACTGAGGGACATTCTGCCAACATTCTACTGCCTCACTAGTACTCCTGGAAATTGTCAAAGCCATCCAAACAGGGAAAGTAAGAGAACCCGTCACAGCCAAGAGGCACTAAGGACACACGCCAGCTAAAGGTAATGCGGTATCCCGGATGCCACATTCTATCCTAGGACAGAAAAATGACTTCAGGTTAAAAAAACTACGAAAATCTGAATAAAGTATGGGCTTCGGTTATAAAGTTACGTGGATCCATATTGGTTCATTCATTGCAACAAATGTATCACGCTAGCCTAAGTTAGTGTGGGAAACTGGGCGTGGGAACCGTGTTATCTCAGCGATTTTTCTGTAAAGCTAAAACTATTCTAAAATCAAGTGTTTGGTTTTTTAAAAAGGCAATACAGCTTCCACCTGGTACTCTCTCTCTCTTAGGGCGCAGACCCCGGCTGCCTTGTGCTGACACAAGTCCAGCTCCCTGGTGCCATCCTGTTGAAGAGACCACTCAGACAGACCACACGGATAGACAGAGATGCCCAGCGAGCCACAGCCCTTGCTGCCCGGCTGAGTCCTCCCGGTTGTCAGTCTCCCCGGCCCAGGGGCCAGATGTGTGCGAGGGGGCCTTTCAGAGGTCCCAGCTCCTGGCCTTCTAGCAGGTTCAGTGGACACCGAGTGCAACATAGACAAGCCAGCCCCACTGAGCTGTGCTCAAATTGCAGAGTCATGCACAAAATAAGCGTTTTATGAAGTCCCTAAACACCGTGATGGCTCGTCACGCAGCATCACTTAAATGGAACAACCGGTCTGCGACTTCGACTTTGGTTATTGATCGATTTCCTCTCCACATCTGTCTTTAGCTCCGCTAGGGGCTGGGCAGTGGACACAGAGATCCACAAGAGCTGCTGGTGATCCACAAGTCCCTGCTCTTGAAGAACTCTCGGTTGAGTGGAAGAAGCTAAGCCCCACGAGAGTAAAAACGAATGCCAACCACACTGGATTGAGCGAACGGGTGAAGGCAGGACTTCAGAGGCACAGAGAACAGGATGCATGACTCTGAGGGATCCCAGAGGGGAGAGACACGGGGAGAAAGAACAGTGTTTATTGAGCACCTAATATGCTTCACTGTTCTAAGTGGGGTACAATATGTATATGAATTCATCCTCCCAGTTGACACCATGATGTCATTATAACCACGTTAGAGAGGAGGGAACTGAGGCACAGAGATATGAAGGGATTCGTCAGGGCCCGCCAAGTGGCAGAGAGAGATGTGAAGGTCCTCTCGGTTTTCCTATCTATGATATGAAGGTATTGGATAAGACGCACACGAAGGATCCTTGTGCCTCCAAGGCTTAGGTTATGTGTGGGTTTTGCCTGCCCGGCGTCTGTTCCCCTTCTTCCAGTAACAGAACCCCAGCTTCTATGAGCAGAACTGCCCCACCTCTACTCTCAGTCAGGAAGGGAAGCACACCCAGCCTCGGCCAGTCACAATATCACATCCACCTTACGCGGTGATGGGCTCGGGCAAAAAGCACAGAGACTCCAGCCAGACGAAAGAGAGTCTTCTGAGGGCCTTTTGCCAGAATTCTTAGGAAAGAGGCACTCTGTTTTCCCTGGAGTTGCCAAGGATGTAAATTTGGAGCTGTCAGGGGCTGTCATAAGAAGAAAGTCTGCCTGGAAGTAAAACCAGTTCAGAGGAAGAGGGAGGCCAAGCACTGATGCCAAGATCATCCGAGCACCTAGGTCCAGCCCTGCCTGAAGCCGGAGAGATCAATCCTTGGAATTTTCTGTGGCATGAGTCAATAAATGTGATCCTTTGAATGGGATTTCCGTAATTTACAACCAAAAGATGTCGCATACAATTCAATGGCAACGAGATGTGCTAGGGTTGGTGGCCTTATTTTTATTCCCCTTATTAGTGCCAAGTTCCCTGAGGATACAAAATGTGTCTTTTTCATCTTTGTATCCTTACCCCCAGCCCCATTGGTGTCTATCAGCGCCTGGCACATAGGAGGGCTCAGGAAAACATTTGTGGCCTTGCACTGATGGGCAGCACAGATTACTTTCACTCCAAGGTCCTCTGGCTCTTCGGCTAGATGTAAGCCCCCCGGAGGTCCGAGGTGCCTGAGGTTTGGTGTGATTCCTAAGGAACACGACGGTCTGAGCAATGAGAGTAGCTTCTGGCACTTTCTCCAATGAGCCACGAGTAGAGGATTGGGACATGAGTACGATAGCACGCCAACCGTGTTTAAGAGCGTGGGCTTTGAGGTCGGACTTACCTGGGACCATATCTTTCCCCACATTTTACCGGCTGTGTGATCTTGGGCAGGTTCCTGCCTGACCTCCCATCTCCTCCGCTTTAAACCGGAGTTTTAGTATCTTTATCTTCAGGACCACAAGTGAAGATGAAATGATATATAGCGCCCAGCTCAAGGTTAACCCTCAAGAAATGGCAGCTATTGTCGAGAACAATCCTAATCCTAATCCTAATGATGATGATGGTGTTACAGTCCCCCCTTCCCAGTCCCCTTGGAAAATCGGCTACGCGTGAGGACAGGACACACTGTTCCCTTCTTCCTCCTCCTTCTTTGGAAGGATTAGCACACGAGGCTGGGAGCGCCTCCCAGAAACCACCCGCGGCTGGGGGCCGGCAGGGTGGAGGATGCCAGGCTGAGGTGTCTTTGCAGCAGGGTCCAGGGTGGCAGGGACTGGAAGGATCTGGAAGGATCGGAGCTCGGGCTGCAGCCCAGCGGGCCAAGCTTTCTCCCTCCCCTGCTTTCATTCTGGACTGAAATTCCCACAGCATGTAGAGCGGCGGGGCTCCAAGGTCCCCTGTGCGTTCAGGCTTGAGGAGCCTGCTGGGCACCGGAGGTGGAAAAACAGGAGGCCCTGGGCCCGGAGGCAGCAAACCCAGGACGGAAGAGCAGGCCGGCCCAGGTGGCGAACCCACACTTTGGGAACTTTGCCGGAAGCCACCACCGTAGTGTCCCCTGCCCTGCCCACCCTCCTGCTGACGGGCCGTTTTCCGTGCCTGGAACACCCTCTCCCCACGGCAAGGTGTCTGTTCTTCTTCCCAGCATCTGGCTGAGCCACTCTGGAGCTTAGCAGCACACAATAACCATTATATGGTGCTTGTGGGTTCTGGGGGGTGGGGAATGGCATGTCTGTGCTCCACGATGCCCAGGGGTCAGCTGGGAAGGCTCCTATCGCTGGGGCTAGAATCTTCCCGAGGCTTGTTCACCCAGTGCACAGTGCCTGGGCAGGGAGGACTCCAAGACGAGGCCCCGGGGTGGTCAGAGTTCTTACAGAACAGCCCCAGGCTCCTGCGAGTTCCCTGTGAACAAAGCAGAAGCCGGATCGCCGTCTGTGACCCAGCCCCAAAGTTCCACAGAGTCCCCCCTGCCTTATTCTGTCAGCCGAGGAGGTCACAAGCCCACAGACTCAAACAGGAGAGAATTTCTGCCTTGAAATGCCGCCCCCTACACACACACACACACACACACACACACACATACACACGCGCGCACGCGTGCTCGAGCCTCCTGCACTAGGACTTAAAGTTCCTCTCACCAAGTGCTGGATTCTCTTTGCTCACCCACCTGGGATGTGTCTCGCCGCATGACGTACTTTGGCCAGTACAATGTGACTCGATTGGGGCAATAGAAATGATTTGTGCCGTTTATGAGTCTAAGGCTCAAGAGACTCAAAGTTCCCCTCCCCTCTCTTGGAATCCTGCCACTGTCACATGAACAAGCCCCAGGCTAGCCTCCTGCATGATGAGTGACCACTGGTACCGTTATCTCCATTGCCCCGGCCAACAGCCAGCTGACCAGCAGACATGTGAGCGAGGCCACCTTCACACGAGCAAGCCCCACGAAGACCAACGGGGTCGGACTCAGACGACCAAACCATCCAGATGCTCAGTAGTCTTACTGTCGTAAGCTACTCAGGTCGGGGATGGCTTGTTACGCAGCATTATTCGTGCTAATGGATGACTGGTGCAAGCACTTAGCCCAGGGCCCGCTTGGAATATGTGCCCAAATGCATTGTTTGCAACACGAACAAAGCAACTAAACAAAAACCCTTTGGCTTTCAAGGGTTTAAGAGAAAAGCCTCCTGGGACCCACGGAGGAAGGGAAGGTAGTGGTGTTTCATCTGTAAGGGAGCAAAGCTTGAGTCTGTCTTGAGCAGGATCTTTGGGCTGGCTGTGGCCCGGGCAGTGGTTTGTGCAAGAATCCAAAGACGTACTGGCGGAGGAGGGTCTGTGCAACAGCAAGAGAGAGGACCCAGCCTGGCCAGGAGCCTCTGGGCTGCTCCCTCAGGTCAGCTTTATGCAGCTTCTGGAACCCTCCACCACCTGCCTCACCCACCGTTGCAGACATCCGTGAGCCCCAGAGCTGCCTTTCGCAGAATGTAGTCATCATCTGCTTCTGAGTTGTCTGGAAAGCTAGTGAAAATGCAGAATCCTGGGCCGGGCTCCAGAATTGCTACGTGGAAAACTCCAGGGGTGGCGGCCAAGGACCTGTATTTCAAGAAGTTCCACACTGCCCTGGGGGACCTGGGGACACAGAACAGGAAGGGGCACCTGTGCTGATAGATTGGAACATACGGATTCTGGAACAGGCTACGGAATAGAGGCGATGACTGGAGACGAACAGCTGTCCTCTCAATCCTCACCACCACATGGAACATAGGTTCTCATACCCATTTCCTGGATGAGAACAGTAAGGCTCAGAGAGGCAGTGAGTGTTCCTGGCTGCCTGACTTCATATCAGCTTTTTGCTTCCACCCCGGCCGGCGGAATCCGCTGGACAGAACACTTTGTTCTTTTATCTTCCTCCTCTTTCAGGGTCGGTTTAGGCTCGCTGGCTCCTTGCTGAGGTGGTAACGCTGAGGTGAAAGGAAGGCGCCGAACGGGTATCCAGTGAATGGAAGCCACAGTATGTGGGAGGTTTTCACACCACCTTTAAGCAAGTGGAGTCAAATGTCTCTTCTGTGGCCAAGCTCAATGTTGTTTTCCAGTTTAGAGTTTTGTTTGTATGTGTGTGTTTTCAGTAAATCTGATAATTAAGCCACAAATGTTCCCAGCACACTTGGATGTATTTAAATTGCAGGCTGCTGATCAAATGGAGAAAATTCACAAACACGGACATAAATGGTGCCTTTTGTTTGTTCCCTGCCTTTCTGCGGCACTCAATTGGTTCTGTCAGCTTCACAGCCAATTCCAAGGCTGCCTGGGATGAGGGGAGGTGGGGGGGAGGGGTGGGGGCTGACAAAGAGACGGCAGGAAGTGAAGCCCCCTGGTGAAAGACTGTGGTTCTTTTCTTTTATGAAAACGTCTCATTGGCGCCTGTAATTCATCTCAACAAGCCAGTTTTGAAAACACAAGTTGGCAAAAGGGATGTTTGTCTCTGCCTGATCTGGTGGCATTCCCTACTTGATGTTATGGGCCACAATCGCATTCCTGATCGTCATGAAAGAGAATCCGAGGGTCCCGCCTTCCCATCTCTTTTGACCTATGCTGTGGAGACTGTTTGGGCTCCTAGAGGCCCGGGGTCCCGCCCGGGGTCCTGTGGTCTCTGCCCATCCACTGACTAACAACAACAACAAAAAAAAGTGGTAATAGTAAGGGAACACTTATTTGCAAGGAGATTGCAATGGGGAGGCGTCTACCGTCCTAGAGAGAAAACCATAATGACGGGGTTTGGGGGCGATGGGGGTTCGGAGCTGACAGCCGAGAAAGAATTCTTGAAGACGTCTTTGGTGCAAAAAGGTGATTTTATTAGAGCACGGGGACAGGACCCGTGGGTTGTGAAAAGTGACTGATTATATATATACCTTCTGGTTGGCAGGGGGTTAGGGACAGTGTAAGTCTCTAAGGAATTTTGGAAGCAAGGTTTCCAGGACCTTGAGGGGCTAGCTCAGAAAACATCTTTTATTACTGCTTAGTAAAACCTCAGTCATGAGACCCTTCAGATGTGTATCAGGGGCCGTTAAGTCTGGAATATGACTGTTAACATATATCTTTGGGGGGGGCGGTAGAGATAAAGGAGGTTTGCAAAGGAATTAAAAAAATTTTTTTAAATATTTTATTTACTTTTGAGAGAGAGAAAGACAGAGTATGAGTGGGGGAGGGGCAGAGAGTGAGGGAGACACAGAATCCAAAGCAGGCTCCAGGCTCTGAGCTGTCAGCACAGAGCCCGACGTGAGGTTCAAATTCATGAGCTGTGAGATCATGACCTGAACCAAAGTCGGACACTTAATTGACTGAGCCACCCAGGCACCCTGAAATTTTTATGTGTTTAAGGAGACTCACAGGATCCTGGGGGTGGGGGGGTGGGGTGGTCAGGATAATATTAAGCCAAGATTCTCTTTTGCCCCTACCAAAGTGTCATCATCGTCAAGGCAGCTGAGTTCCTAGAGGAAGGTCACTCTGTTTCAAGGACTTGTTAATGGCTGTAGGCAGTAAGGGAATTTAATTTTTCATTTGCTTTGTTTCCCACACCACCATGGCAAGCACTTAAACCCCCTTACATCTCGATGAGGGTGATATTCGGGCTCCAGGAAATAGAATCTATAGGTTTCTGGAGATTAGGCTATGGAAAAGGTTGCCTTTTTCTTGCAGTTTACTAAGTTATCCGTAAACTGAAGGAGACTCCTGTCCTGCAGGACTGTGATCTCTATCAGTTAACTATTGGCTTTCTTTCCTTTCCCCTATTCTTGGGCAGGCAGGAGTGTCGGAGGAATATCACACATATCCCACCTGGTGGACGGGGGTGCTGTTAGCCTGTACTTTGCCCCTGGCTTGGCCCACGCTCCCTCATCAATAAGGTTTGCGAGCATCGTCAGGGTTGGGCAAAAAGATTTTTCTTTTATAGGCTGCAGAAAAGAACTAGAAAGTGGGATCAAAGAGTAGCATAACGGGACAGGGGACCAGAGAACATTCTGTCCTCTTCGCAAGAAGGACCGTCTGCTGGTTTAGGCTGGGCGTGGACCAAAGTTCAGGGGCTGGAGGAAGGAGAGAATTTAACGAACTTTGGCTGACAAGCATTTTGCCCTGATTGATTACTGGGGACAAGCAGTTCAGCTAATCACCTATGAGGCAAAGAGTGGGAATTTGGAGGGTCTGTGCCCGGCCTTGCCGGAGGTAAACACGGGCAGCATCCACGAGGCTTCTGGAAGTCACATGGAAAAGGGGTTCTTTGCAGCAAGCTATTTTCTGGAACACAAAAGGGTGAGGGAAATTCCTTCAACCTTCACTGTTTTCCAGAAACACGGGGCTCAGACAAAATTCAATGCCGTCACCACTCGACTGGGGGGTGGAAATTATAATAGTTAATCTAGGATTTTAATATTTTTTTTTCAACGTTTATTTATTTTTGGGACAGAGAGAGACAGAGCATGAACGGGGGAGGGGCAGAGAGAGAGGGAGACACAGAATCGGAAACAGGCTCCAGGCTCTGAGCCATCAGCCCAGAGCCTGACGCGGGGCTCGAACTCACGGACCGGACTGCGAGATCGTGACCTGGCTGAAGTCGGACGCTTAACCGACTGCGCCACCCAGGCGCCCCATAGGATTTTAATATTTTTAAATGCTTTGAAAGCTCAAGGTGTGTGGTCAATGCTCAATAAATATCTCTTAATCTCTCTTCCCTGCAAGACCCTTGAGGGCAGGAGGTGAGTTCATTTGGTGTGTTTTCCACCATGTTAGCCAACTGCCTAGAACCCACTGATCTGCTGAATTGGCCTTGAGCAACCCTCAGTTTCCTTGTCTATAAGACATTATAATCTCCACCTAACAGGACTGTTAACATAATTAACATCGAGGAGTTCTCGGGGCCCCAGAGAATACCTGACACATCCCTGGTGACCAGTGACAAGGCTCTTCTCAGTTCTCTGACTCAGCCTTGACCTTGGGCGCTGTCCTTGGCTTGCTGAGTCCTGTTTTAGCAAGAATCCTGTTGGATTAAGCAGAAATCCCCTACCCTTGGTATCTGACCCGATTTCTTATCCTCTACCCTTGAATATCTTATCACCCTGGCCTGCTGTCAGCAAAAATCCTGGGTGGTCGGTTTAGCAGAATTCCCCTTATCCCTGACGCTTCCTCTTAAAAATTTCCCATCCACTGACGTAGACCCTGCTCCTTGGCTATGAATCTGCACTTGCCTTTGTCATATTTGGAGTCCAGGAGTACCTCTTTCCTCTATCACAGACCCCCACTGCAGCGGCAGGTAGTCTGCCTTACCACCTTTAACGGCTGTCATGAGTAACTTTTTTCTTTGATAGCAGGGAATGATTCCCTTCCCTTACCTCCTCGGACTCCAGACCCACTGTGAGCAGGACTTTCTACCACCTCTGTACAATGCTTCAATGCTTCAAAAGGCCTGAACCCCTGGAAGCCACGGGCAGTGTGCTCCAAACCAAAACCCGCAGTGATGCCCACACCACTCAGGGTCGGGGCCGCGGCGGCAGGAGTGAGGATTCTGGCTGCCCACTGAAACCCAGGATTTCCTCACTCCTGCGGGCCGTGGATGCAAAAATTTAGGAGCTGTGACTCTCCCAAAGTTCAAGGATTCGGCCACTTTATTTCACTGGGCACTGGCTGACCTCCCTGCAAACTAGGAAAACGAATCCTCTTAGTTGTACGGTTTCGATGAAATGGTGGATGCGAAGCTGACTAGCACACTAAGTTATCCTTGCTGAGGAAGTCGCAGGCGTCACCCACGTGGGAATCGAAAACCAGGAAAAGATCCCTCACTTGCGGGTAGTCTCTACCCTACGGCCTTGTAAACACGACGGGGCGGGGCCACGGCATCGATCACTCGGCGCTCGGCTAGGCACTCCGTCCCGATCAGGCGAGCACTGAGTGATCGATACTTCGGCAAGCCTGACTACTGGGAGGAGAGAGCCAGAGCGTTCCGACCAAACGGAACACGTCGTCGCCAGCCTCTGCGCCACTCCACACTGCCCAAACTCGAGACAGGTGAACTTGAGCAACTCCAGAGGGAGGGAAGCTCTGCCTCCTTAGAAGCAGAGGGGAGGACTGCGCAGGCGCTGTGTTAAAGGCGAAGCGCGGCGGGGCGCTGGGGGCGGGGATTGGCGGTGGAAAGACTGCCTCGCGCGTGCGCCTTGGAAATCCCCAGGCAGTTCTTCAAAGTAGAGAAATTGGGGCGGGAATGGGGAGGGGAGAGGGGAAAAAAAAAAAAAGAGGCGGTGCATGCTCCCTGAGAACGCAGCGCCAACTCTCCTGCACGTCGCGCGTAGGAGGTAGGTTCCACGCGTGCGTAGTGCTCGTCTTAAACGAGTAATTTCGCATGCGTGAGGCCAGCGGTGTGCGCCTGCGCGATTCCTGGGGGCGCGTTGGCGGAACTCTAGTGCGCCTGCGCGAGTGTTTATTTCCTCGGTGATGGTACCTACAGGTAGTGGACTAAGCCTGCCTTTGTCATAGGCCTGGAGCTAGGTTGCTGTAAACCGAATGTGGGCCGTGACAAATGAAGCCCCAGGCGGGGAAGGGGTGTGAGCCCTCGGGTGGAGCGTCGGCTTGGGGTACCTGAAGGACAGGGATTTCTAATAGGAGTTAGCTCTGAGCATTGGTGTCGCGTTATGCCCCTCGCGTTAGGATCCAGCAAAGGTAAGTCACCGTGCTCAGCAGGGTTACATATAGCAAGCCCAAGGTCAGGGGGCAGACGGCCCGAACCCGAGACAGCGGAGCCCTTAGAAGGCCAAAGTTACCCATGGCGCCGCTAAACAAAGCTTTCTGGACATAGTTCCAAATCTCTCTGGAAAGTTTTATAAACCTCCCTAGAAAGCTCTTGTGTTTTTTTGCACAGCTTACGTGGAATAGTGCCACAATAAAATTGAAGAGATTTGAAAACTAAGTAGGCAGCCTGCTCCCAGAAAGCCAGGTAGAGGCTCCTATTTTGGAAGCCACCCACGGGAGGCTTCTCATGACCGGCATACTGCTCTCAGGATGGCCATTTCGGGTCAGCCGGAGACGTTTGTGGGACCCTGGGGGGCTCTTAAATAAAGCCAACCCTCTGCGAATCCTGGTGAGATTCTCCAAGAAGCCGTTTCTCCCAGCCAGTTTAAAGTCTGTTGTGGCAATTGCTTTAGGTTCTTAAAGATAATTTAAGAGAATTCTGGGATGAGTATCCTGGCTTCCCAGGAGGCATTGTTTTGTAACCAGCAGAACCCACTTGGGCTGTTGACTACGAAAGGCCAGCTTACAAAACGTGCTCCATCTGGATGGTGAATTTGCGAAGTCAGGACCTGAGGCCACGCAGTCTATTTTATGTAGCCGATACGTGGCTCCTTTGTGTTAAATACAACCAACAAGAAACCTTTTATGAAGCTCGCATCAGGTTGACTTATAAAGCGGAGACAAAAGCCACTCGGAGAGGTTAGTTCAGACAACCTTTATCCGACCCCCGTACCTAGAGTATTGTTATCATCAACAAATAAGCCTTTTGTAAGACACGCCAAGATACAGTCCACCGAGAGAAGCTATTTTGTGCAACCTGTACCTGACCTTCCCCTGAAAGCTGTCCCATGTCACGAAGCCAGTACACGTGGCACTTTGAAATGCCAGTTCACGAAGTCAGGACACAAGACCACTGGGGCTGTTTCTGTACCTGACACCTCCACCCTCACCTCCTTCAAAAAAAGACTTCTGTGACCAACAAGAGGTCTCTCCAGGCCGGTAACCTGACGAGTTTTAGGGAACTGACTTTAAAGTGACAATATAAGGCCACTCCGGCTTTTTCATAGGGCTTATAATTGGGGTGACCATCGGTCTCAGTTGGCCTGAATACCCCCAGCTTATGACTTGACCAGTCCTAAATATTAAATGTTTAAATAATATGAAATAAATGCTGAAATTTACGTACATATGAAAGAAAACTAACAGCACTCCCAGTAGTCAGCTTGTGAAATCTCTGCTTGCAGAAATGAAAGTTCCAAACAATGTAAGAACAAAGAACTTTGGAGAAAACGATGAGAATAAAAAGTTTTACAAGAGAAAAATGTATCCTTCACCAAGCCAAAACCCAACCAAACAAAAAAGGCCTATATACAGCATCCTGGTTTGTAGGATATATTCTGTAGTCAACCCACCTGTACCTGACTGCAGAAGGCAGTTTATACAACCTCTGCTCATGCCTTTTTATGTGGAATTCTGGGGGGCCAATTAGAAGATGAGTCTACAGTGCCACTCTGAAAGACTCACACAGTTTATTCTTGACTCCTTCCTCTGGAAGGCTGTGGGTTTTTTTTGTTTTGTTTTAGAAAGAGAGAACCCATGAGTGGAGGAGAGGGGCAGAGGGAGAGAGAGAGAGAAAATCCCAAGCAGGCTCTATGTTCAGTGTAGAGCCTGACATGGGGCTGGATCCTGTGACGCTGGAATCATGACCTGAGCTGAAATCAAAAGTTGGCCATTTGGTGAACTGACCCACTCCGGCATCCCAGGAAGGCTGTATCGTATAACCTTTTATAAAAGGCAGTTTAGTGGGGAACTCTGGGAAGCCAGTCAACAAAGCCAGGCCAAGGCCGCAAGACTACTCTGACTGACACCTTCCTCTGGAAGACTGTTTTACTATTATCAAGAAGCCTTTTTGTCAGACCAGTACATGGGGTGTGCTGGAAGTTTGATTTGTAAAGCCAGGACTTGAGGCCATTTGGAAAGGAGTTTCATGTGGCCTGTACCTGCCTTCAGTGGAGGGCCGTATCAGATGGCCTGTTGTGAGGGCTGCTGACAGTCCACATGGGGCCACCTTCTCTGGACCATAGTTTCATACAGTCATCAAGAAGGGGTTTGACCCAGCCAGTGAAAGCCCTTTTCTGTAAGGCCATTTCACGTGGGAACAGGAGCTAACCGAGAGGGTTGATGGGTAGAACCTAACACTTTCCTGGTGCTCTAAAGAAACCACGGGAGATTGGTTGGTTTGTAAAACTAACACAAAGTGTGGCTTTCATCGGGCCCTCAGACAAGGTCCAGTATGTAAAGAAACCTGTTTATGAAACAGTTCACGGCTCTCCTCTGGAAGACTGTTTCCTGTAGTAGGATGTGGCTCCTCCCCCAAAGGCTGTTTGATTCGGCAACTATTTAAAAGGCTAACTAATGAAAGGGTCCGAGAAGCCAGTAGAATCAGGCTGTAGGATTATTCAGAGAAATAATGACCGGTATGCCACCTCACCGTGGAAAGTTGCTAACACCCGCGAACACAAGGCCTTCTGGGAGACTAGTGGTTTTTTTATTTTTTTAACACCTTTAAGTAATCTCTACAGCCAGCATAACACTTTTAAGTAATCTCTACAGCCAGGCTCAGACTCACAATCCCAAGATCAAGAGCTGTGTGCTCCACCAACTGAGCCAGCCAGGCGCCCCAGGGAGGCTAGTGTTACAAGATCAGCCATGAGGCCCTTTGGGAGGCCATTCAAGTGGCTATGACAGAGCCAGTCTGAAAAGTCGTTTTGAAAACAAACTCGGAGCTATCCCGGAGCGTCACCTCTGGAAGACTCTGTCATATGGTGTCAACATAAGTATCTCTGAAGACCGTTTGATAAAGCCATTCACCGAGGAGCTCTGGATTCGAAATTAATTACTAACGTTATATTATGTGGCCAAGAGGAGACCTGTTTTGTACAGCCAGCCTGAGGCCCTCTCCCAGAAGGCTGTTTGACATGGCCATTTACATGAGGCCCTCTCCAAGGCCAATTTGCAAAGTAACACATAGGCTGCCTGAGGAGGCAAATGGAGACCAAACAAGACGGCCTTGGGAGACCATGTTGCAAAGCAGTGCAGGGAGGCCACCTTGGGAAGCCGGTTGGCAAAGCAGCACACGAGGCCACCTATAGAGGCTCACTTTGAAGGGCCTTTGTGAGCTCTCTGAGGGGGTGTTTTGTAAGGTCACCCCGAGAGGCCAGTTTACAAAGTCCGTACTCTGCATCCCAGAGAACTGGTTTATAGCCCATTTAAAATCCTCTGGGAAGCCGTTTTTTAAGGCCACTAAGAGACCGATTTACAAAGCGGGTACATTAGGACCCCTTTCGAAGCCATTTTTCTAGTCAGGCAAATAAGTGGTCTTCTGGGAGGTTTATTGCAGACCTTTGCGAGAAGCCAAGATATGAGGTCTCTGAGGTCTTCTGGCGCCCCGAGACTTCTCGAGGCTGCTTTATAAGACATGTGAGTCACTCTTGAGGGGATGAGCCATGAAGCCACCCAGGGAGGCCAGTTGACGGGCACACATACGGTTTTGTGTGTGGGTAGCGGGTAAGGCCACATTAGAAGTTTGGGCCGTGAAGCTCTCCCAAGAAAGCTGTTACTGAGACCAACACAAGACATTTATGAATCTTCTAGGAGGCTAGAGATAGAAATCGTCCTGGTAGGCGAGGGCCGTGCCACTCGAGCCTCTCGGTGCCATCCTTCACTGGGCCGGCTGGAAGGCTATCCCTTGTGCACTGAGGACCGAGCTAGGATACAAAGATCCAAAAGCTGATGTAATCCTCACCCCTGAAGCTGAAAAGTGTTCTGGGTAGACGCCACCACTTACTGTGTAGTTTTGGACAAGTTGCTTACTCTCCCAGATCTTAACTTCATTCGTGTCTGTAAAACCTCACATCACGAGATTGTAAGTGATTATATTGTAAGATTATAACGTACAGAAACCACGGAGCATCGACACGGCACATAAGAAAGTCACTTCATTTTTCCCCTGGACTATAGTTTCTTCATCAGCAAAAGAAGGTGGGGGTGTAGGGAAAATGATCATATACGTCCCTAGGGACTTGACAGTGTTGTGAGGGACAAATAAGATTAGAGGGAGGGGAAGGGTGGGAGAACCGTGAAATGGGCAGTGGTACGTTATTGCTGTTGCTTTAGGCTCAGGAAGAGGTTCTTCAAAAATAATGACACGCAAGGAAGGCAAGGAAGATCATCCGTTTTGCTTCTACGAAGTGATGGGATTTTCTCATCTGTTGAGTGGGAATAATAATTCCTTCATTACAGGGTTTTGTTGAGGGTTAAACAGCCCAGATTCCCAACTTTATCGTGTGCTGGCCGGAGATGTTGTGGCTCGGTTCCTTCACCCACGAGATCACGGAAGTCTGGGGGCCAGACTGCCTGAGTTTTAAATCTCTCGTGCCCCCTCTTCCTAGCCCAATGCGTGGGGCAAGTCACTTAACCACTTTAGCTTCCTTATCGGTGAAATGGGGACGATAATACTTTCTTCGAGTTTCTGTGAGAATTAAAAAGTGCTTAGGGCATCCTTGGCTTAGAGTAAATACTTTGTATCTTTTCGGCTTCATCAGATTGTGAAGTTTAAAGAGGTAAGATGTGTTACTGTCAGTGTTGTGGGTGGTGGTAGTCACGAGTGGGCGAGAAATGAGTTAAAATGGGGCCCAGAGGTAGGGATGGGGCTGTCCAGCCTACCTGCAGGGACCACACCTCTAGCCTTCCTGTATCTTCCCTTCCCTGTCTACTGCTGACTTCTTCATGCACGTTGGTGCTAAAAGAAACTGCTTCCTTCTCCCGTTCTTTTGTGTGAGTTCTTGTTGAGTCCCAGGGTGTCAGGGAAATGTGAATAGGGGTGTTTATTAGTTATCTAGTGCCGTATGACAATTAGTTTAAGCTTAGTTGCCTAAAGCCACACATATTTATGATCTTAGATTCTTTGGGTCAAGAGTCTGTGGTGTGGCTTAGTGGGGTCCTCTGTGTCAGGATCTCACGAGGCTCGAGGTATGGTGTCCATCAGGATGAAGTTCTTGTCCAGAGGTTCAACTGGACAAGGATCTAAACCCCTGTGGTTGTTGGAACAATTCAGTTCTTGGAGGCTGTTGGACGGAGGGCCTCAGTTCCTAGCTTGCCGTTGGCTCTAAGCCGCCATCATCTGTTTGCCATGCGGACCTCTTCCAACTGGCCACGTGCTCATCAGTGCACACGAGCCAGGAAGACAGTAGGGAGAGTCGGCTGGCAGTGGAAGTTAAACCTCATGCAACCCAATCAAGGGGCATCCCATCCATCACCTTTGCCATCTTAGGCACAAAAAAAAAAAGCGCCACATGTATCAGACTTACACACTTGTTGGCTAGAAGCAAGTCAACGGTTTTCTGTTGCTGCTGTAACAAATTACTGCAAACTTGGTGGCTTAAAACAGTATAGATTCATTATCTTACATTTTCGTAAGATTAGACCTTCAACATGGGGCTGACTGCTAAAATCAAGGTCTCGGCAGGGCAGCATTCCTTTCTGGAAGCTCCAGGGGCGAATCCATTTCCTGGCCTTTTCCTGCTTCTAGAGGCCACCCACATTCCTTGGTTTGTGACCCCCTCCCTCCATCTTCAAAGCCAGCAAAACTGCATCTCTCTGGCCCTTCTGTTATCGCCTCTCCCTCTGACTCTGACTTTAACCAGGAAAGATTATTTCAAGGACTCCTCTATAAAGTTGGACCCACCCACACAATGCAGGATAATCTTTCCATCCCAGGGTCCTTATTCTTAACGGCATCTCCAAAGGCCATTCGAATTACAGGTCCTGCCTGTGCTCCAGAGGAAGGAGTTAGATAAGGGTGTTAGTCACAGGAGGCAGGGATCACTGGGGAACGGTGGCTTTCTTCCCTTTATAGGAAGCGAGGCATCTGATAAGGCTTTATCAGTCTTCCTCCTTGCCTTTCACCCTCCCCCAGGGGTGGGGGACATCAGTGACTCCTGTGGGTCAAGTAGGGTCCCTGACCAAAGAAGCCAACCCTGGCTGACAGAAGGAAGATGTTTTTTGGAGAGCCACCGGGGCCACAGAAGGAATGGAAAGCTGGAGAATTGCCCTTTGAAAAGAGTAAGAACGAAAGGGGCTCCATAACCCAGGAATCTGGGACGATGACTGTGAGGCCCCTAGACCAGGCTGGCCCAGAAATGGCCGGTAGGAGACCGTGATGCACCAGCCACCTCCAGTCCAGTCGATCTGCTCAAAAGTTCACATTCAAGGGAGGCAGCTTAGAACCAGTCGCCTGGCTTTGCGCACACACCCACGGCCCGGCAACATCCCACCTGACCGACCTCAGCGGGGGAGATGAAACTCCTCAGAAGGAAACGGAGGAGTGTTGTTAAGAAAGAGGAAGGGATTCTGAGCCACAAAACTGAACACTCTGCCCTCTCTTTCCTCAGCAATAGAAGTTTCTGTGTCAGGGCAGCTACCCGTTGTGACACACATCATCAGCAGTTTAGCGGCTCAACACAATGCAAGTTCTTTTTGGCTCATGAGGCATTCCAGCATGGGCGTATGTGCCCAGTCCTGTGGCTGCTGTGGCTGTGTCATCCTCTAGGGCCTCAGAGTCCTTCACTTGCAGCCACCGGGTAGGGAAAGCGTGGAGAGTCCTGTAGGGGGTGTATGCGGGCCAGGCCCGGGAGTGGCTGCATCACTTGCGTTCACATGAGCTGGTAGTCGTGGCCACGTCGCATGGCAGGGATGACCTGGAAATGTAGTCTGTGTGCCCAGGAAGAGGGTGAAAAGGATTTTGGTGAGCTTAAAGCAAGGGTTTGTTTTCGTAAAGTTTTATTGGAACGCGGCCATGCCCATTTGTTCACATACTGTGAAAGGCTGCTTTCATGCTACAGTGGCCGAGTAGCGACAGCAGTGACCGCATGGCCTGCCAGGCCCAAAACGTGTAACATCTGGCCTTTACAGAAAAAGTCTGCTGGCCCCTACCTAGCATAGAGCAGTCTCTGCAAAAAGCATGATGGTCCCTATTTCTTCGCATCGTGAGATAGACAGAGAATGGAACAGCTGTTAGTATGCCCAGAGCGCAGTGGCACAGGTGACCAATCAGAGGTGAGCAATTACAAACCTGTGAGAACCTATTCACCTATTAGTGCTTACGCATTAGGACCGGCCTGCCGTCCGCACAGAAGAGCACCAACTATGATGTTTTTCCTTTCTGTGTAGGTTTTCTGTACTCCCAGGGTTCTTCCCGAGAAGTTAAGACCCCGTTCCTTCAATAGCCTTAGTTGAGTGCCCACCAGGAGCCGGACTTTAGGGAAATGGAGAGAAATGAGACACGTCATTGTCCCGGAGAAGCTTGCCAGCTAGTCCTGGAGAGACAGACATGTAAGCCATCAGAGTGTTGGCAGGCTTCCCAGAGGGGATCATTTAAGGTGGGCCTCGAAGGTTGGATAGGAGTTTGCCAGAGAGGAGGGATGTTGGAGGCATTCCAGTTAAGGACAACATACGTTCCTGTCTGAATACACATTTATCCCGTGCCCATGGGGAGACTGGTATCGTACCAGGCCCTGAATGTAGGGGTGACCCCAGACAGACGGGGGCCCTGCCCTCACAAGAGTTTACGCTTGGCAGAGAAGACCGTTGTAGAGTCATTCACGTGAGACGTGTGTCACAAAGGACACGTGTGGAAAGCCGTGGGAACCTGTAAGGGAGATGTCTGCATGGTCTCTCTCTTTATAGAAAGTGACTTTATGTATATTTTATTTTTATTATTTTTATCGCTGATTTTTAAAAATCTTTTATTTTTTTTATTAAAAAAAATTTTTTTTTCAACGTTTATTTATTTTTGGGATAGAGACAGAGCATGAACAGGGGAGGGGCAGAGAGCGAGGGAGACACAGAATCGGAAACAGGCTCCAGGCTCTGAGCCATCAGCCCAGAGCCCGACGCGGGGCTCGAACTCACGGACCGCGAGATCGTGACCTGGCTGAAGTTGGACGCTTAACCGACTGCGCCACCCAGGCGCCCCTTAAAAATCTTTTAATATTTTATTTTCATCATGGTCCCCATCTCCTATTTCCCCCATCCCTCCACACCCTTCCCCTCTGGTAACCATCAGTTTGTTCTATTTGAGAGTCTGTTTCTTGGTTTGTCTCCCTCTGTGTCTCATTTTTCCTTTGCTCATTTGCTTTGTTTCTTAAATTCCACATGAGTGAAATCCTATGGTGTTTGTCTTTCTCTGACTGATTTCGCTTAGCATAATACTCTCTAGTTCCATTCATGTTGTTGCAAATGGCAAGATTTCAATTTCTACGGCTGAGTAACATTCATTGAATATGTATATACCGCATCTTCCATGTCCATTCATCAGTCGATGGACACCTGGAATCTTTCCTTAATTTGGCTATTGTAGATAATGTTGGCTATAAACATAGGGGTGCATGTATCCCTTTGAATTAGTGTTTCTTTGTATTTTGGGGTAAATACCCAGTAGTGCAATTACGGGATCATGGGGTGTTTCTGCTTTTAACTTTTTGAGGAACCTCCATACTGTTTTCCAGAGCACGAGTTTGCATTCCCACCAACAGTTTGCAAGGCTTCCTGTTTCTCCAGACCCTCACCAGCATCAGTTGTTTCTTGTGTTTTTGATCTAGCCATTCTGACAGGTGGGAGGCGGAATCTCATTATGGTTTTGATTGGCATTTCCTAATGATGATTGACATTGAACATCTGTTCGCGTGTCTTTGGCCATCTGGATGTCTTCTTTGGAGAAATGTCTGTTCATGTCTCCTGCCCATCTCTTAACTGGGTTTATTTGCTTTTTGAGTGTTGAGTTGCATCGGTTCTTTATATATTTTAGATACTAAGCCTTTATCGGATATGCCATTTGCAAATACCGTCTCCCATTCCGTAGATTGCCTATTAGTACATACATTAAAAATCTCAGTGGGTGACGTTTTCGCTACTGGATATCATCACAGCTCTAGCTCCCCCCTCCCCAGTTTGATTTTATGAAAATCTACAAATGTATGTGTTTGGGCACGCGACACGCTGTTCTGCTCTAACTGTTCTTTCTTTCCGCAGCACCGTCGTCACGACCTGGCCGGCAGAGGGCCCCATGGCCGAGGGCGACCGGGAGCCCCTGGCGAGAGCCGGCACCCTCCGGGAAGCACTCAGGGCGCTCCTGCCCCCCACTAAAGAGGAGCTGACGCTGCAGTTCGGGGAGAGGGTGGAGCGCAGCGTGGTGCGGCTGCTGCGGGAAGCGGTCGAGCTGTTCTGCGGCGGCCATGGGGGCGAGTGTCTGCAGGCCAGCGAGGCCATCCTGGACTACTCCTGGGAGAAACTCAACACCGGCCCGTGGCGCGACGTGCACAGAGACTGGCGCCGCGTGTACGCCTTCGGCTGCCTCCTGAAGGCCGTGTGTCTGTGCGAGGAGCCCGGGGACGCCGGCGCCGTGGCCGCAGCCCTGAGAGTCTGCGACATGGGCCTGCTGATGGGGGCGGCCATCCTCGGGGACATCCTCACTAAAGTCGCGGCCGTCCTGCAGGCGCACCTCCCCTCGGGAAAGAGGCCCGCCCCGGGCCCGGCTCAGGAGCAGCCCCACGAGAAGGTATCTGGGTGGGATTGCCACCTGCCACACCTCAGGTGCCCCGCCGGTCCTGTTTTTCTAGAAGGAAGGAGTCTGCTCTCCCTGGGGGGTGAGGCCTCGCGGCATGAAAATAGCGTCTCCGTCTCCGTGGATTAGGAAGGGGAGGCGCTTGGCGTGATTTCCGATCCCCCCCTCCCCCACCCCCCAGTGTCTACATAAGCAGTGCCCTTTCAGGAGAGAGGGAGGTGGACGCGCTGTGGCTCCAGAGAGCAGCAGCCCGGAGGGACGCATGGGCCCACGCCTTCCAGCTTGCTCTTGGTCAGCCCCTGGAAGCGTCACCCCTTTCCTGGCTGCCTTGCTCTCCGTGCCACCGCGTTTGGGCCACGTGCTACATCCAGCCATCTCCCATTCCTGTGACTGCTGGGTGCCGCCCCCAGGGTCCCGGCATGTGGCCTTCCCAGTGTTTAGCGCATGAGGATAACCCTGCAGGGGGGAGGCTAGGCTTCGGGTCCCAGCGCTGACACGCGGACCTCACCATACCTCTAGGCGTGTGGGAAAATGTTCGGCCTCACCTGTGGTTAAAAAAAAAAAAGGCAAGAACAGCGAGGGAACGATGTCTGGCCGTGAAATTGACAAAGGAGGGTTTATGCAATACGGGTGCCACGGAGGATGCCAGGGGGCCAAGGGCAGGGTGCGTGGGTTGACCTTTCAGAGGGCAGGGCAGACATGCAGACCACGGGGGGCAGATGCCAGTGTCCTTTGACCCGGGAGTTTCACTGTTCGCTGCCCTTTCCTACGCCAACTCTGTCCCAAAGGAACACAGAGGTGGCCCCGTGCCCAGGGTGGGGCTCACGGTGCGGGTGGTGGTGGGCAGTGCGTGTAGCCGAGGGGGTGAGAGCTCGGGTCTGGAGTCGGCCTGCCGGGCCACGTTCCCACCAGCTGCCCACCGCCTGTGAGTCGGGCAGATGTCTTGCCTCCTCTCTGCC